GAATGTCTCCAGAGAAGGAGACTCCACAGCCTCTCTGGGCAGCCTGGCCCAGGGCTCTGTCACTCTCACAGCAAAGAATTTTTGTCTGATGTTTACCTGGAACCTCCTGTGCTCCAGTTTGCATCCAGTGCCCCTTGTCCTATCACTGGACATCACTGCACAAAGCCTGGCTCTGTCCTCCTGACACTGCCCTGAACAGATTTGTGCCCATGGATGAGGTGGCCCCTCAGTCTCCTCTTCTCCAAGCCCAACAGACCCAGCTCCCTCAGCCTTTCCTCAGCAGGGAGATGTTCCCCTCCCTCCAGCATCTCTGTGCCTCTGCCCTGGGCTCTTTCCAGCAGTTCCCTGTCCTTCTGGAACTGGGGGGCCCAGAACTGGACACAATACTCCAGATGCAGCCTCACCAAGGCAGAACAGAGGGGCAGGAGAACCTCCCTTGACCTACCAACCACCCCCTTTCTAACCCACCCCAGATGCCATTGGCCTTCTTGGCCACATGGCTGGTCATGTTCATCCTCCTGCCCACCAGGACCCCCAGGGCCCTTTCTCCTCCCCTGCTCTCCAGCAGCTCAGCCCCAACCTGTCCTAGTACCTGGGGTTGTGCTTCCCCAGATGCAAAACTCTGCACTTGCCCATGATTAATTTCATTGACTAGTACTGGTCCCAGTACCCACCCCGAGGGGCTCCACTGGTCACAGACCTCCAACCAGGTTCTGTCCCACTGACCACAACTTTCTGTCCCAACCAGGACATGACCAACCACACTGCCCCACCATCCAGACCACACCACCATCTCACTGTTACCAGCCCCTCAGCAATGCAGCTCCTTACTGGGGCAGCCAAAACTGCTCCAAAAAACAGCTCTAAAGATGCTCCCAAAGGTGCAATTTGATCCTGCAAGACTCTGGGAACTGATCCCAGTTGGGATTTGCTGCCAACACAACCAGGGTGCAGACACAGAGACCAGATCTCCCCACTGGAGATGAGTTCAGATCAAAACCCTCCTTCCAAATGCCAGGTTGGGATCCCAAACCTTCGTGTTGGGGGGTGTTTTTTTTAACCTTCAGTAGTTTTAGGAGGTTCTTTAACTTGTTTCCTGCAAGAACAAAGGAGAAAGAAGCACTTGAATTCAATCATTCAAGTTCCCCCCCCAAGGTTTTTCTGTGAAAGTGAAAAACAAAACAACAAATCATGTCCAGGGGTGAAAGGAGGTTTAATAAAAACATCTTGTGTGTGTGCAGAACCACTGGAAATATCCAGGGGCTTTTTTTGGTTGGTGTTTGCATCCTTCCTAAGCCCCACAGCAACATAAAACCTGCTCACCCAGATCTCCTGTGTGGAGATCTGGCCTGTGTCACCAGGATGAACAGAGCTGGAAGGTTGGGGAGCAGTTTCATAATTGGTTCTTCAGGAAAAATGCTCCAGTTTTTCCACCTGTGTTGCCACATCCCCAGTCCCAGGCACTTCCCCCCCTCCAGTCCTGCCATGGGGGGGTTGGGTTTTCACTGCAGGCTGGAGCAGCATGTAAAATCCTGCCTTTTCTTCCCCCCAAAAAAGGGATAATTCTGCACCCCAAAGAAAGCACCTTCAGGAGGATGGAACAGGGAATCCCAAGCTGCTGATGTCAGGAGCTGGGCTGACACTTTGCAGGCAGGAACCAAGTCTCCCTGCTCAGTGATTAGCAGCTTCACCATCATTTGGATCATTTCCTAAAGAAAAGCAGCTCCAAAAAAGACCTTTTTGGGGAAAGTCACTGCCCACAGCTCCTGCTTCCCCTTCTCACATCCCAGGGTTTGCCAGAGTTCCCACCAGTGCTGCTGGTAGTGAGGAAACCACATTTCCCCCCAGTTCACTGATTCCTTTCTGGTTTTGTGGTCCTCAGGGCAAGAAGGGGAAAGGGAAGAAGAAAAAGTCTGAGCTGGAGGAAGATCTAACTCCTGACAGGTAAAAAACTGGAAAAAATGGTTTTACTGCAGCCAAGACAAAAAAGACACACCCAAAAGACCCCAAAAAAGCTCAGAAAGGAAGGGAGAGGAGATGAAAAGTGCCCCAAGAGACCTGAAAAGGTTCAAATCAGCCTTGGTTGTCCTAAAATACAACCTGGATTTCCAAGGGGCTTCTTCATCTGGTGTAGTCCTTGAAGCAGCTTCAAGGTGGGGGGCCCAGAAATGTCCAGGGCTCCACCTGCTCTAGGTGGAGCTCCAAGGAGAGGCTGAGGAGAACATCCCCACCAAGAGAAGACCCCAGATCCAAATGTCAAAGGATGAAATCCTCAGTTCTTTGGGGCTGTTTCCCACCTCAGGTGGTACCCAGGAGGACACCATTCCACTGGAGAACTTCTTTCCCATGTTGCCACAGCCTGGGTTTCCACAGCTGGACCAGTGGCTGCTCCAGGCATCCCCAGGATGGTCCTGGGGAGGGGTTCTCTGGCCAACAGGAGCAATTCCAAGCAGGATTAGGAACTTACCTCTCATGAATAGGCCAAGGAGGGTCCCTTGCTGTGATTGTTTCATTTCAAAAGAGTTTCCTGGTGATTAATATTCATGCGGTTACTCAGCAAGTCCCAGCTGGAAATGGTGGGAGAGGGAGCTGGGAAGGGGAAGGAAAGAGCCCTTCTTGATCTCATACCCAGCTCTGAGCTCCAAAATATCTTTAAAAGGCTGAGGAAACAGGCAAAGAACCATCCCTGGCTCTGTTCTTGGGGGACTTGCAGGGGTCTCTTCCCCCCAGGACCATCGAGTCCCTGTACAAGGAGCTGGTGGCAGGAGGGTTCCTGATCAAGGCCCAAAACGTGAACATCTCTGATTACCTTGGTAATTACCTGGTTTTCCCAGCTCACCAGGTGGTTACTGTCACCAAACCCCCACCCCTGCCAGAAGCCACACCTGGAGGCACCAGTCACTGCCCCAGAGCCTTGGCCAACCCTCCTGGGGGGTTGGATGGAGGAGGGTCCCATCCCTTGGATGATGCTCATGCAAGACCATGAGGCTCTGAGAGGTTCTCATTCCTCCCCCCTCCACCCAGGGTGCCCACAAGGACCAGCCCCTCCCTCAGCTCCCCCCTCACACCCCCCTGGGATGAGGACAAAACCCAACCAGAAGCTCCTGGGGCCAGACAAGGAGAGTTGGGCTGGTTTGGCAGCAGGGGGAGCTTCTCATCTGCTTCCTAAAGCCACCCCCCCACACCCAAACACCCACCAACCCAACCCAGCCCAGCCAGGGCAGCTCTGGCCACCCCCACCCCCTCCCCAGAGGGTTTGGAAGGACAAGGTGAGGCAGGAGACCCCACCATGAGCCAAGGCCCTCAAATGAGGGTCCCCACACCCCCCAGGACCCGCCCCACAGCCCCCAGGACC